CCCCCCCCCCCATGACTGAGCTGATAAAAGTAGAAGAAAAGTACAGGGAGTTGATTGAGGCATGGGATAGCCAGGAGAAGAACTTAGCTGTACTGGGCATAGGAAGTGGGTTTGAAAAGGCGGGAAGTGATATCGGTAGGATAGACAGACCAGGGAAGACATTTTTGAGCCGCCTTTGGCAAAGTAGGAAGGGAAGATTGGCCATCGGTGATCGGTCCTGTGGGGAAAACGCTCCGTCCGCTCGAGGACGCGTGGTCAATGGTCTAAACCGCGAACGCATATAAAACGCAAGAGTACCCTCCCCCCCTACCTATCTCCTCGAAGCAGCAGGGCGTCTTGGCGTAGTAGCGCGCCGCGACCGTGTGCTGTCCCCGACGGAAGTACCACCCCGCCTGGACGTAGTGGACCTTCACACCAGCACGGCAGCATGACAACAAGAATCATGCAGCGTGACACCGAACGTGGGGACGTGGGCGAGAAGGCGCACGACAGGGTTAGGGTGGGCAGAGAGGGGGGCAACAGCGTGCGTGATTCATCTGCGAGATCATCTTGCGTACCGGGCAAGCGTCGGAAACGTCAATCAAAATGATCCGTTTACCCTCGCAATGGCGACGCATCCGAGTAAACTCACCTGCTACCTCTGTCTGCCTCTCTTGTCTGTTTGCCTGTCTATCTACCTCTTATGTCTGTCTCTATTCTCTGTTGCTGTTTCTGTTTCTGCCTGTCTCTTCTCCCCTCTCCCCCCCTCTCTCCGATCTGCGGAACCCCTGACCTGTGCCCGTTCTACGGCGTTCTTGCAGTGCTGAGCGGCGTCCTCGAAGTGCGCCTCCTCGCCCGCGACGGCCTTCTCCAGGAACAGCATCCACACGTTCCGTTCCTCATGCGACACCCGCAACTACATCGGGAAAACACGAGAAAAAAGCGGATGGGATTGTGTATTCTCCTTGTGCTTGAGAAGCAGCACGGCTGCAGTCGTCCAACTCCTGCGTTCCCCCCCTGTCGGTAGAACCCTTGCCCTTTGATGTAGAAAGTGTTCGTGTTCTGCTATCCCGCTACGATAGCACAGACGTCGTTTCATTGGTCAGCCGGCTAGCGCGGTCAATACTACTATTAAAGACACACACGACGCGCGTGAGCCACACACGCGCACACCAAACGAGACCCAGACACGTACAAATTACGTTCGCACATGAGGTGCACACGTTTCGTACAAGCGACACACCGCGTCATGGCTTAACACGTGCGTTGACCGCCCGCAGCGGCGCGTGTCGGCAAAAACATAAAAAAAAGCGCAGCTCGCTGAACCTTCGTCGGTCTACTCTCCTCGCCGATGACACGGCCCTGCCTTTGCCAATACGAGTCAGTACTGCCGAGACTCTTCCCGCGGCTCTGCAATGCCAGCATCCAGCGCCCCCAAAACTCCGGCCAGACCCCACAGAGCAGACAAAATAAAACAAATACCGACCCCCGCCACCACCACAGTACCTTGAACGGAAGCCTGTCTGTGAAGAGCCACAGCCGATTGGCCACGCCGATTCCAGGGGCCGCTCCCTGCATTGCCCCGCCTCCCGTATAGGGGTCGGTCAGCAGGGTCAGGACGTGCCCCATGGTAGGGTCATGGGTCTCCAGGCTTTCCTCCTTGGCGTTTTCGACGGAGTCGGGGGTTCGGGAACGCAGGGAACACACAGAGAGTCCGGGGGGGGGGGGTTC